CTTTTCATCCATTGACAGGCAGATCGCCGCAAACCAACCGATCAGACACATACCGCGCGTGGAACTATGGGAAAAGTGGTCGGAACTATTTCCATATTGTGTCAACACAGGTGGCGCTAGTCGCTTGGTTTGCGGCGATCTGCGTGTCAATGCAATATTGAGAAAAATTAGACCTTTGACCTCCCAATTTACATGCATTTTAATGTTAATAAAATAAGATATTCTGATGAGTGTTGTGTGTTATTTTAATTGATCAACTCATTAAAGATTAAATCTTGCTAAAAATCGGGGGAGGATGTGTTCAAAACAAGAAAAATACTTTTATATAGTTCCGCGGCAGAAACGCTGAGAAAAATGGTAGCGGATGGATATTTAGCCTTCAGAGGCTAGTTATGCGTCATAAGACACAGGTCTGTGCTGAATAGCGCCATCTGTGTTGACACAATGCTTTTCATCAGTATTATGTAGTCAGCCATTTTGATTTTCAAGCAAAGGGTTATGGGTAAAGTATGACATCATAGAATCAGTTGTCAGAAATTGAGAAAATGATTTCATCTGTAAATTCAAAAATTGAACTTCAAATTGGCTGAAAGTTTAGAAATTGATAGCATACATGTGCCATCCATGTTTATAAAATAGTTGTTATGGAAACAGAACTGAAAATCCAGTTTTATGTTTTCCTACCAAATGCTCAAATTTCCTTATATTGTATACAATTTACTAATGTGAGTATGTTATATAGGTGATATATTACATGTTGACAACAAAAAGGAGACACAAAAGTGTCATTCTATATTTCACGACTAAAATATTGATTTTTATTTTTTTAACGTTTTAGCAATATCTTTACTTTATGTGTATTTGTAATATTTTAATTTCCATTACTATAATTATATACATGAGTAATATGCACAACGAAAATTTGAACTTATTCGCATCAGTATTTCTCATGCATAGATGAAATAATTTTCTCAATTTCTGACAACAGATTCTATAATGTCATACTTTACCCATGATCCTTTGCCTGAGAATAAAGATGGCTGACTACATAAAACTGATATAAAGTTGAATATCTAGAGAATGAAAAGTGATATAAAAAACTGTAAATTGCATTCTCCTACATTTGTGAAACTTTTTCTTTAGGGGTCATTATGTTGTTTAGATTGATGTTTCTTTTAAATGGCGGTAGTCGTCGCACCACGCTTGCGCAATATATAGAGGTCGCATAAACGAAGATGGCAACTTTGACTTTGCACACATCAACGAGTACAAACTGAGACGTTACCAAGCTTTAATTGGGTATTTTTAGGTGATTGTAAATTAATGAAGGAGTCATCGGCGGTAATTAGTGAAAGTCGGGCCTAGGTCAAACCTCATACTTATGATTTCCATTAGAAGAGCGAATTGTATTGCGAGAAAAATCAATGTTTATCAACACAAGTCGCACATGCGCAGCGCGACGACCACCGTCCTTTCACATAGGAGCTTTGTAGAGTTTAAAGCGCGAGGGTAGTCACCTGCGCACGCGCGACAATTGAGTCCCAAACGATTATAATACGCCCTAAAAACGCAAAGGCTCATGGGTAGACGCTTATTTGTAAACAATCTGACTTGTGCGCAGGTGATGACTACCTAGCTTTAACTTCGATTTCTTTTTTATATTTTTGTTTATAAATATTTTGTTTTTTTCTTGTAACTTGGTTGCCATGAGATATGCACACCCAAATTCAAAATGGAATATTTGGATCAAATATATAAAATTTTCAACTACAAGGCATCGCAACAAGATGGCTACACATATTAAGCATCTGGCACCATGCGCTAAGCTGAAATACCCAACCAGCCATAGGTTGTATAGAAGAGTATTCATTCTTGTCAAATCAGGCTTCTCAGTGATTCAATGGGATTTCTTTCTAGGACAGGACAGCCGTGTGGCACAGTTTGATGGCTTCAATTTACCATTATATTTTTTCTAATTGGGGAAAACCGAGATGGATTCGATTAGAGACAACTATGCATAAAAGTTTTCATAGATATCTACTTGGCACTTGGATTTCATACTACAGCCAAGTCTCAAAGAAGATCTCCAACACAAGTGTATTTATAGTTGAAATGCATACTGTCACTGGTGTGCGTTCACAAGGTATATTCTCATCAGTTTTCCAAAGATCAATGCGTGTGCATGTACCTTTTTTTGGTAGTTATTTTGATTGCCCATTAAACTTTTCACAAATGCACTTTCATTTTCAGCCGATGCATGCTGAAATCATTTCGAACTTTACAAGTACATTTGTGTTTCTAAAGTTAGTATTTATTAAATGGTTCATTTTTTATACAAAAATTGAAAAAATTTCACTTCAAATGCCCGCATTACAATATCAATTTCAAGATAAGACATGTACTGAAAAGGACAATGATTTATTTTTAAAAATAACACTTTATTTTTGATCAACGACTTGATCATGATTTTACAGTGGCATTTGAACCAAAATTGCTCTTATTTGTTATTCATGTGACAAAATATATTTTTTTTTTCTTCCATATTTCACAATAGAGCCACCCTAGATGACACCTAATAGCTGACACTAATTTGATTGTGCGGGATATTTCTGTCATTGCCTCGGAAGATTGTGTTGCTACATTTTTTTTCAAAACAATGGAAACTCCTAAGGATTCCACTTTACAGAACACGAAAGTGTAAAAAAAAAAAACCCAGATACAACACATTACAAAAAGAAAAAAAAAACTAATGAGCTATTTACAATACAAAAGTTTAAATACCATATGTACAATATACTGGCTACTCCGTTTCTTTTGTCTGCTTTTAACACAAAACATTCAAATTATTGATTTGTGTTTATAATTTTGTTTAAAAAACATGGTTGTTAAAGTATGTAAAACTGCAATTTAAGGACATTCCATTATTGCTTTAACAAATTATTGAAGCAGAAACTACACCTGAACAAGTCAAAGACAAAATTCAGTCTTGAATACATGTATGTTGTATCCAAAATTTAACGAGTTGAAATAAACCGCCTCTTGCATTAGCTGAAAATACACAATATACACCTAATTTGTCTTTATCTATTTTAAAAGATTTTGGGAAAAAGTAGGGTATATTTGCAAGCAATCTGAAGTAAATAATAAATTTGAAGCTTCCAGCCACACCCAGCTTTGTAAAAACAAACTAGAATTTTGTCACGTTAAAACATTGATTGTGTTTTCTTCATATGCATTGTGTTTGATCATTTTCACAAAACATGCTGTCAAAATTTGACTGCCGACAAACACGTTTTGGTTACATGAACAATTTCCAAGTAAAATATCCCAATTAAGTTACTACTATATGTAAATTGTCTATCAAGGAAATTGGATTGCTGCTCATGACGTGGATTTGACACGAGATGATCCCGATTTCGATGTTATCAGCCGTTCAACCATGACACGCGCATAGTCCAAACGGTTTGCCAACACCTTTGAGCAACCATGTTTCTCAAGAAGAGGTAGTCTGAATGTACGGAAGTTCTTTTTCTCATCAATAAACGTGACAGCCGACATCAGTGGGCAGATTATGATCTTGGTGTGATCTTGGAAGAAATTAACCTGTGAAGTAATAAAGTCAAACCATAAGAATATACCAAATCATACTAGCGTTAACTAGCAATAACCTCACCATATTAATTTACAAATCAAAATAATAATTTGCTTTTTCTTCGTTCATTATCTCACAAAATCAAAATGTCCAAAATGAACTAGAGGCGACATCTAACACCATGAGACTGTCTCTAAAGTATTTGCTCTAATCGACAAGATTTACCTGAAGTAAGCCATTGCTGAGATGCAAGATAATGGCACTACGTGTACGGAACCAGGCATTCAGAAATGGTAGGCGAATCATCTCATCACCATCTCTTGGGGTCATCTGAGCACCAGCCTAGATACAAATAATAAATAACTTTATGAGATATCTATATGACAGATATTGGTCAAAGTGGTGCTCATTTTATAGGAACAGCACACACCTGTTCGCATAAACATAATCACAAACACAAAATGAACACCGAGGGCAGTTGTCATTTTGGTACAATAGTGTTACACAACTAAACATACCGCATGCTCCTGAAAACACCAAGGTCTAAAAAAAAAGGCTTAGTGGCCTTACGTGCAAAATTTAGATTAAATGATTGACCACAGGTGAGAAATTATCACATGTAAATACACGTATTGTATAGTAGATGTCTCGTCTAACAGCACTATATGATGAAAAACAATTGTATAATCAAAGTAAACCTTGCTTGTGCTTCGGATCAAGTCAAACATGTATAGTTTGATTTAACATAGTACGGTATTGACCCAACCATGCTCATTCAGTGTAATATACTGCCTACTGTGGTGTTTAACCACTGGTCAAACCAATAATAAGACAAACTTGCCTTTGAAAGGTTTTCGTTCATGTAGTTACGGAAATATTTTAGGAGGGTCACTTTCTTAGTTAGTGTTTCTGGGAAGGTCTTCAGTTGATAGTAACTTTCGCCGCCATCCTTCTCAATATATTGGAGTGTACTGAAAAATAAATATGCAAAAGAAAAACAATGTGAGCTTCCTTGCCTTATGACCATGTGGATTGATGTGAAAAAAAAACCTTGAATGAGCTGCAGATGTGAGCAAAGAAATTAATCTGCAGTACTTACTCTCCATTTGCATAAAGTAGTAGTTTTGTTGAATCATTATATCTGACACCAACGCTATCATCACTCAACATATAGCCCAGACCGTATTTGTCTGAATAGTCAACCCATTTGCTAACCCAGTAAACTGGTACAGCGGCTGGATCCTCTGCTTCGTCTGGTGATAAACAAAATGGCTGTTAGTCATGTCCTCCCTTTTCATTCATGTTTATAATTACAAAAAATGAAAAAAAAATACTAAACCAGTATCTTCATGACAGAAAAACGCAAGACCCCTAACTTAACAAGAATTAAGAGAAAATCGTACCTTCATCTATCACTGCTTTGCTAGCAGGACCTGATTTAACAATTGTATTTAGTTGTGCCAGTAACTCTGACAAGTAACAGTCAGTTGGTTCTCCAGCTGTAGAAAAGTAATCATATAATGTATTGTTAATAATGTAAATGATATGACATGGTTGGATTTTGGTGAAATAAAAACATAATTAACATCGAAGCATCACTGATAAAACACTTACCACCATCTTCTGACCTGAGAACACCTCTCGACCCTTCTTCTTTTCCTTCACCATTCTTAGCGGCGAGTTTTCTTAATGCCTCTGATTCTTTCGTCAAACCATTGGTTGGGATGGCATCTAAAAAAAAAATTGTTATTCTGTATACAATAGTCTTAGAATGTTATTGATCACACCAATCAATGTGGTTCACTCAAATGGAAAGTTTATATCTTAAGTATGCCCACAGAATGCTTCATTGTTATAATTATCTAAATGCCCTGTTCTAGTTTGGTTGGAAGCCTTTGACATGTCAAGTAATGTCTGTACTGTAATAAATGCAATAGCTGCATTATTCACAAGATATTAACATCAGAAAAATTAGAGAGAAGGGGCCCTTAATCCATGATTTTTTCGACAATTACCATGTTCTATTTGTATACAAATTAATTGTTAATGCCATGTTATTTTACCAGGGAGAACACTGTAGTAAATAGCCGAATATTAGTCAGCAGTTCCACTAATTTGGTTGTGTATGAGTTTTCAGTGCCCTAGAGTCTCATCAAGTTACCTCAAATCAAATGAGCATCAAATGATGCAACTTTTAAATTTGATTTTTTGTCAAGTTACTCTAAATTGCAACTAAGGTTCGTCGGCTATACAAGTTAGACAAAGCACCTTGTAATTACTGGAGAGTCCTTCTCAAAAAAAAAATGTATCGGCGTCTGACCACAACATTTTATCTTGGCTCAGACTTACAGCTGTATTTTCAGTTTCTTATTTGAAGTATGTATAGTGAAATTAATTGGAATCAACAGTTAAAATGTTCATGAGTTACGAGTGTCAGAAAATGAGTGAATTATTTTTTTATCTGGAACGCCTAACATCAAACATGCAACGCTATTTCGAATCCAGTTTGGAACATGCTCAGCAACTAGCCTAGGAAGTATGAAATGTTCCATGTTTGCTTGGAAAGCTATGAACTCTTGTACAACAAATATAAATAAAAAAACAGTGGCTGTTCAAACATTCTTTAACTTGCTTCTTATCAAATTTTGATTAATTGAGTAGGCATGCATCAGTTTGACACGCGATTTGATGTACTGAAAATTTGATCATCAAGTCTACACAAATTGTTGTTTACGAACAACTTTCGACGTACATGTTCATCCTATTTTTTTTTTTAAACCAAGTCTACTGGCTTACAAGTGATAAGATAAATGTGATTAATTCACTGATATTTACTATACGGGGACAGCCACCATTAACACTGCTTGAAAATAGACAAGATCTTTTAGTTTCCTACAAATCAGGGGGGGGGGGGGGTAAGTTCACGTTCTGCTTGGATAATATTACACCAACTGCTGATAAAATTTGACTACATTCGTTTTTACATGGAAAATCCCTTGTACACTAACACTTCATTACATGAAGAACATAGAACACTTTCCTCTGGGTATTTGAAACCTAAATCTCCATCTAACTGTAAGGCCGTCGCTGACTAGCTCCAGAAAATGAGATAACAGTCCCTTCGCTGTTTTAATAATGGAGCTAAAAAGAGGCGGTTTCATCCAGTAAAGGAACTTTTGATCATATAAACTCCAGTATTTATTATTTAGTTTTTCTTTGGTGTAGCCATGAAGATCCCTCCATCCTCTGTACTGTTTACAAAATCATTTATTTATATTCCACTACATAAGAAATTTGAAAACCAACTGCTTATCCAAAACCCAGGCAGTTAATCAATTCGCTGGCGAGTTTGCCAATTGGCTGCCCCAATACTTTTGAGACTTGCTGTGAAACATTGCCATCTCAAATTCAGTTAAGTAGAATATATTTACCTCCTGTGCCATTTTTCTCCAACAAGGGTTTTCTACTCGATGCCATTGGTTGGGCCACACTGAATCTAGGTGCTGTTGTGAGGCAAGATGTTGGTAACCTAGTTGGTAATGGACCGCATTTAAAAAACTCATCATCTAGCGCTTCTTGCATCGATGGTCGCTCAATGGGATTGCTTTGTAACATTTTCTGTATAAGTGACTTTGCAGGAGCAGATATTCTAGATGGGATGTAGTATTCATTCTTTTTAATACGGAGGTAGGTGTCTTTCAGGCAGGTTGTCTCAAACGGTGGTTTGCCGACTAATAATGTGTATCTGCAAAGAAAAATCAGCAGAAGGTACTTTATATTCAAGAATTAACTTTTTTAAATAGTCAAAGCACAGAAATGTACAATTTCCGAGTTTCCAATAGATTCTGAAGGATTATAAATAGACCAATATGTGACTTTGTTTTGACTAAGGATGAATAAACAGATATGCACAGACAAATCAATCATAAAAAGCAATAACAATAACATTTACAAAATTTTACTGTGACTAGGTTCTTGTTCTAAAGCCTCACTGATTACTTTGTGAATTACTGAGACCAACAAAACAAAAATTGACTATTTTCTGCGCACTGCGAGATCCTGCATTATGTGTGAAATCAAATGTTATAGCACAACAGTGGCGTCAAAACATCACAGGATTAACACGCTCATTAATGTGCTATACACATTCGATGATTATTTTGATGAAGTAAGGGTACCTACATTTCCCTCAACATTTAACGATAGAAAAAAACTAAATTAAAGTTCAAAATCAAGTCATTCAGTTTTTGTGGCAGAAATGTGCACAGTGAACGAAAAATCACCTATTAAGAATAAGAGCTTGAAAGTGATGAAAAATAAGCTTGATATTAAAACCTACAATATACAGCCTATCGACCACATATCCACTTCATAGCTGTGTCCTTTCTTATTGAGTACTTCAGGAGCAATGTAATTTGGTGTACCACACAAAGTTCTGAAAAAAACACAGATAAGAATGTATATATTATAATATATCATACATGTATAATGTTTCTGGAAAATTAAATTACCGATAATCACAACACATTGAACCAGTGACTTTCACCAAAACATGCACTTTAGTTTCAACAACAAAATGTAGTATAGCGTGGGCATGTGGCAAGTAATGGTTTATAAGGCCTCATCAGGATGAAAGTGTTGTTGATAGGTGCGATTATTCATAGACACTGACAGCATGAATGAATACAGACATGAATTCACTGCTCAACCCCGTACAATAATTATTGTAGAGTTCAAGCACACTGGAAGCTCAGTTGCATAAATTTGAATTTCTGATTAGTACTAAATAATTCTAAGATTCATGATCTAGTATTATTATAAATTTGTTAGCAAAGCAGACTTCCAATTTTTTTTTGAATGTCCACCTCGGGCATAAATGGATATTATTTGGCAGATATGTAACCCCCACCCCAATAATATTTATTGAATTAATCAAAAATTATTCATTTCATGCAAAAAGAAATAAACTACTTACTTTTTTCTTTCACCTTCGTAGTCTATTTTTGTTGCAAGGCCAAAATCACCAATTTTGATTTCCATCATATCATTAAGAAAGAGATTCCCTAACTTCATGTCCCTGTGTATAACCTTCTCCTTGTGAATGTAAATGGTAGCTAAAAGGATCTGACGCATAAAGTAACGGGCTTCTGGTTCGGTCACCGCTTTTCTCCTTTTGTGTAACTCCATGAGTGACTGATAAAAAGTAAAAAAAAAATACTGAGGATTTGCATTCCATCTCTGTAATTCAAGCAATGATTGATTAGTGGGGGATGATTATAATCACTTACAAAATAAATTGAATCAATTTCTCAAAAAATATACACACATTTACCATCTATTTTCTATGCAAAGCACATCTCTAATAGAAACACATGAAACAAAAATTGTAATTGTATATTACATGAGAATGACGCTTGAAAATATGTTCGCACTAGAGCTGGATAGAACAATCAGTAATGTATCAAATATAGGGACCAGTATAGTTGTTGGGCCCCTTGCCAAAATCAGTTGGGACAATCAGGTCAAAATTGTTAACAATGCGGTAACTGGCATTATAACTGTTTAGTGTAAATTGATTAAAAGAATTCTCTTACCCGCCTTCGACACAGTTCCAGTAAAACATAGACAAAATTGCTGTCTTCAAAGAATCCATGAAATCCAACAATATTGGGGTGAATCAGACTACGGTGAATTGCAATCTCCATTGTCATCTACAGAAAAGCAACACAGGTTTCCCAGTTATATTTTTTTTTAGTAACATGATGAATATTCTTACATTGGTAAATATAATTCCATCTCCATCTGATTGAAATATATTGAAATGCAATTATTTATGATAAATATAACATTCATGGTAAATAAAAACAAAACTTCATGTAATGATTATGCAAAATAATGCAACGTATGTTTTTATGCAGCTCTTTTTATTTATTTTGAATTCAACAACAGCCTTTAAAATGTTGTACTTACTTTGTCCTTCTGGTGTGGCTTGATTAACAATGCTTTTGGTACTATTTTGGCAGCGTAAATGTGGTTGTTTTCGACGTCTGTCATTTCGTAACATTTTGCAAATCCGCCCTGTGTGTATTAAATGATTACCATGTTACTTAATCCGAGTCTGGTGGTGATGCGACATTGGACCACGGTTACTCGTAACCGTGATTGGACGGATTATGTTATTGGAACGTTGTAGTGGAACAGTTGGAATTTTGGAAACCGAGCTACTTACTTATACGCTCATATACACACGTTATAGCCGTACATATTATCAACAGCTGATAAAATGAATTTTAAACGAAAAAAAACTTGCAAACAACGACCAGTAAACAGAAAACGTCTACGATATAATCGTCCACAGAAAGCCGGTGCGAAAATATTGAACAAAGACTTGGTAATTAATAATAAACGGCGAACCCCGTAACGGCCAGTACACGTTTAAAAAAGTAGAATACAAACAAAATTAAAAAATTAAACATTTTGTTAATATCAGTTTTGTTGGGTTGTTGATTGTATTGATATTGTATATAGTGAGGCGATTTAAAGAGGGAACCGTGAATCGTGACCCAACATGCAGAAATCTACAAACGTTTCCATGTTTACTTTTTATCAAGGTCGTGCATTTGCAAACATCTGGGACGTTTATAAACAGTAAATCACAACAAATGACAAACTGTTTGGAATAGTCATTGAAAAAACATCGAGGAATATTACATAAATGATCAATTTACCTTGCCGAGAAATCTACCTTTCATATAACGTTTGCTACTACTCGGGTCAATCACGATGTCCGGGATCTCCTTCATTCTTGGGTCGTCCGCCCGGTGTCTGCTCGACATTTTCGACTTTGTGTTCGCTCGAGCAGAAGAAGACTTTTTAAAACAAGATCCGAAAATGTGTTTTTCGGAAATGAATAAGCTGAGATTTCACAAATGTTGTCAAGCTTCACCAAAATGTATAGTTTCACTGAGACCAGATGCTGTACATTTCATGCAAGAATCCCGTTTGAAAAAGACGGTTCTTATTGGGCTCGATACTGATTGGTTGAGCTTGCAGGAAAAACCTGTCATCTGATTGGTTTGTGGCGGCAATTTAAAAATTCTAATGCCCAAATATAGATATCACGCCGATCACGATAACTCACGAGATCTCGATTTAGGTCAAAGGTAAGGTCAGTTTTTACAACAAGAAATATGTCGATGTTGGCTAATCCTAAATATCGACAAAAATGGTCGTCGGATCCAAGAAATACGAATTGGAGTAATGGTAAGATGTTGTTTTATTCTAATTATTTAGAATGTCGAGGTGGATCACTTCGTCCTGTCCCCAAAACAGGAAATTATAATCGGTGACCGTGTCAGTTTTTAAAATGACGGAACACACGTGTTTCGAAAACAACCTCATAGTGAAATATTATTAGCGCACTACTCATATCTATCGACAGTATTTGATTGAGTTTTTAAAAATTATATTTTTCAGAAAATCCATACAATGCATTTGTAAGGTCAATGGCAAATCAAATCAAATTTGTAACATAATCTACATATTGCAAAACAACACATGAATATTTTTTTTTAAAACACGATATCTCTGTAACAAACTATCACAATATAACATTTTAAATCTATAGTTAGAGGGGGGGGTCACTCACGCACAGTTTAGTACTTAATATGACAATAGAACAGTAGAATTCAATGGTCTGCTTTTCGCAAGGGACTTAAAAACAGTCTCGACAAACTGTAGTTTAGTTTAGTTCAGTAAAGCATAACATAAAATATTATTGTATAGTTTATGCAACTGTCTATGATATATATTTACTATGAGATAGAAGCTTATACATGTCAATACACATGTACCATCATCGTTTTCAATAAATTTCGTGCATCATGAACTTCTCCGAGGCCAGATAGCTAGTTTTGGTAAATTACAGACAAAGTTCTACATCTGTTAAACAGTGTTTGCAAAAACAGAATATCTGGAAGTGTGGAAATTAAATAATCTGGTTGCCAGAGGATCTGCTCCCAAGGGTAAGGGGGTTATGGCAATGGCATGAGGGTGCTGTCCCCCTGTTCGCTTGTTTAAAAAAATCCCTGAGCATGTGTGTACAAAGCAATAAAGATATATTCAAACCTAGTTTTTAGAAGTAGTATGCCATAGTTCATTTACTCTCAAAGATTTTTTTTTAATTTGATTATCCTGAAAACTAATGTCTTTTTTTCTGTCTGTTAGATTCTAGTAAATTTGGTCAGCGTATGTTGGAAAGAATGGGATGGGAGCACGGGAAAGGTCTTGGTGTCAATGAAGATGGGAATACTTCACATGTCAAAGTATCAAAAAAGGATGATACATTCGGTGAGTTATCATTGTCGTTGAATTCCTACCCCAGACCATTCGTCCCGGTGTTATCGCTATCGCCACACAAGACTCCAGCTTGTCTCCTATACAATTTGACTGCGCACATCCAGAAAGTAGATGTAGCTGTGATTGGTGGAATACTAATGAGTTGAGTGTCAATCAAACGCCCACGCTATCTTTAGTAAACAAAGTAACGTGACACGCGCCATTTTAGTTTTGATTAGTTCATCGGATCGGAGTGTCGGTGTTCACCATCCATAAATCAAATCAAAATGATTTCTAAGGAAATTGTCGCGTCAGCAGTGGACAGTGTCTTAAAACACATCGATGGCATCAACTCTATCAAAGAAGAACAATTGTCCGCAATTG